ACGACACTTTAACAATTTGAATGATTTAACTCCGTGTAATTGTGCCTACCGCATGGAAATTTGAATAGAGGTGACGTCAGATTTGCTACAGTGTAGAACTTAGAAAAAGGGGTCTTACATCAAATTTAATTTTGATCCCTGGATTTTGTTATTAGTGCCATTCGATAGTACACGTCGAGCTTTCTCAGTGTTTGAAATATTTGCACTCATTTCAATGCCGCCCTGTATGTATATATATATCCATTTTTTTATGTTCATAATTTTATCTGCGAATATTCTTTTTCAATAATTTGGTCCTTTCGAATTGGACCACTCCGTATAACTACTACTGTGGCACTTATAGGCACGTAGACAAGAGTTGGTTACTAAGAAGCAGCAAAACTAGTTCTACTTGGGAAGAACAAAATTGCGCAAAAAAATAACTTGAAAGTCGACTGGCATGTACCAATCTATTGAGATGGATGTTTTTAATGGATGTCGGATAGTTTTCATCTTTCAGCAGAAAGAACTAACCTCATTTGCTTCAGTGGTTCAGTGAACAATGTATATGTATACGATGAATAACTAATATATTTCCAAGTAAAATTTTGTGTATCGTCAACCTTATCATGCTAATATTACTGATGTGGTAGTGATACGAAACTATGATAGAACAACTCCTATGTTTTTGCAGTGTATATCTTTTATTTTCAAGAGTTCATTCCAACCTATTCGAAGTTTCTCTAAATTATCAAAAACTTTACCGGATTTTATTACAATTCATCACAACTCTACATTATATCTTGCTATATTTTGTAATTTCATGCAATTTATTCCTATTACTTTTTAATTGTCCTAATTTCTTTCAATTCCACTCGATCTCTCTCAATTCCTCCCAATTACTCTCAATTGAAATTCTATGCAATTCCATGAATTTTCTTGGAAATTGATCCTTGCGGTTGTTTACAATCGCTTGCAATTCCTTGGTATTCCTTGGTATTCCTTGCAATTCCTTGCGAATCAATGGAAGTCTTGCAATTTCTTGCAAAATCCTTTTAGTTTATTCAGAATTCTAGCAATTCCTTGTAATTTCTTATAATTTCTTGTGGTTTCTTGAGATGTCTTTCAAGTCTTTCCATTTCCTTGTGAATCATCGTGATTCAATTGATTGATTGCTTTTCTCACCTCAAAATAGCACAACTCACCATATACAATTCCACATTGTTGTACACCTACCTACACGAAAATTCCTCAACGAAATTCCACTCGCCTTTGATTTTGAATAATATTATTATTTTGTATTCGAAAGTCTACCGAGATAAACAAATACTTAAGGATGCTGAAATAATTATAAGAATATCAAAGTAAGCAGGATTCTTGGAAAACTATAGGGTTCAAAGGAGGTGCGAAAATATTTTAATTGAAAGTATTTCGACATATTGACTTCAAAGTTAGAAGTGAAGCCTGATGAAAAAAATCCAGGAATAAAATATGGATTACTTTTATTTTTAATCTATTTTCATAGCCAATATAGGCCACTTCGATCAACACTTGACCTAATAAATAAAATGTGTGCTGACAGATGGAGATAATTTTCTTATTTCACACAACTCCCTGTATGTTGAAGCATGTTTTGTGTTATATTCTCTCTTCTAATAAAAGCTCAACCAATGAGGATAACTAGCATGATATTATGTTGTACTGTTGGAGATGAGTATACACCTAAACACGTCAATTTGGAAGTAGTTCAGGGATATTAGAAACTGAAAACATTTATGGTTGTTCCTTAACTAATGCAGTGATTCGTAGATATTCAAATGCGTGAATTAGTGTTTCATCATGCCACAGCCGTCTTCAATTTGAAGACGGCTGTGATCATGCTAGTTCGAGAATGGTCCTAATTTGACGATATTAAATAACAACCATGGGCGCCGGCAGCAGGGTAAAAGGAGCGAAGAAGGTACACTTGCACCCTCGCTTGCACTAGTCCAATAAATGAAGGAGGAAAAAAAGGCAAAGTTAACGTTAATTACGCACTATTTTCATCTTCCGGTTGGAAGTAGCTTTTGGTAACTCATCAAACATGAGACAAAAATTGACTGGAAAACGCGTGCGATGGCGGAGAAAATGGCCCCAAAAGACCAGGAAAATAGGTTTTCAGCCAATATCTCCTAAAATATGGCAGTTAGAGATTTTAGGTTCAGCTAAAAATTGAAGTTTAGTTAATTTTCCATGCTCGTTAAACAATATCCTATTTTTTATCAGTAGAAAATAATGAAAATTGCAAACCATTTGGAGGAATACACTTGAGCAATTGAAAAAATCCGAAAAATATTCCATCCGAATATGTAGGTACAGTAGATATCGCAAAAATATTCAATGTTGAATTTAGTGCAAAAATGTGCCTGTTGCAGTTCAATGGATCAGAAGTGTAAAATGGGTATCTTATCAGTTGATAGTAGGTATTGTGTGTATAGATGAACATGCACCTCCCTGAAAAAAATCCTGGCGGCGCCCATGTAAACAACACCGAAAATTCAAATGATCAATAAAGATAATTGGAATGAATATTGATTAATCTTACTATAGAATAATATTATCTATGGAAAATATATTGTAAATTGTTGTTGTGAAATTGTTCTATCCGTCATTCGGTTGCCCCCTTACGAGCAACCCTCAGAAGTCTTCGAGAATGATATTCCTTTATTTCCATTGAAATAGGAATTGACAATAAATTTAGGGGTGATCGGAATAATCCTATATAGAAGTATAGATACTGGAGATTCATTATGAAGAAATCAAGAAATCAAAGAAAAAGGAAATGAGAAAATGAAGAAATCATACTTACTTATCACTCTCATCGTATCAACAAAAAACACCCTCTAACCAGGACGAGGGTGTTCATTTTCTATCATGATAAATTAAGTAGGTACCGATATGTATCGCATAATCTGCATTTTGATTTTGTGAGTGATAAGTTATATAGTGACATATTCAGCAAGTATTATTTTGAGATAGATTTCATTTGAGATAGATTCATTTAATTTTCAAAGTGACGAATCGAACTTTTATTGTCTTCTTTTATTGTCTTCTTTGTGATATTATTCATGTGATACTATAATAAATATTCTTTTCGAATTGTTGATCCGTTTAATATTATTCGAAACTACTGCTTCTTCAATTTCTCTAAATTTGTTTGGGATAATATACTCATATATTAAGGACAAATCCGATGTAGGTATTTTTGAATAAGCTTTCAATTCAGATTTAAAAAATCGGATAATTTATAGGGTGCTCCATGGGAAATAATTGTCGCGGACATTATAACTCACATGCACGTGAATCACTCTGTATATTTAATATTTCCTCATTAAATGTGCAAAATCGAGGTTAAAAATCGATCTGTTTCAGGAGATTCATCAGAATGGATAGTTTGGCTAAAAATGAATTCAATCAGTACTTCACGAAAGCACTGTATGAATTAAAACAATAGTAATACCATCTAATACTATATTGTTTTCATTTATTGCGACGAAATATTTAGAGAAATTAATATTTCTTCTTCTCTAACCTAAAGACAGTATCTACTGCTTCTTGTTACAATCATTCTACAAATATGTTCTCAAAATGTTTGCAGTAATATTGTTCATATCCAATCAAAATAATTATTGGTTCATAATAAAGGAATCAACCTTGACTTCCAAAAGATTTCAAAACATTCTTATTTCGAACAAATTATTATTATAGGATTTATAATGGATCAAAAGGAATTTTGAGAATTCGAGGAGATAACTCTGGGGATTGCCGATGACTATGGGATTTATTATACGTGAAAATAACGAGGACTGTGGAGGATTTACTATACCTCTTGTTATTATTTCACAAATAGATTTTCGGCAAATATTGCTTTAGAAAAAATTATGTATATAGTATGTAGGTATAGTACGAGTTATTTTTAGTGGCAGTTTTTTTTTGCTAAATTTCCTAAATGCTTAATGATGAATACGTGAATCCATCAGATTAATGTTCCCAAAAATTAGATAGTTTATTGACAAATTTACATAAACGCCATCAAAGATTTGTTCACAATTCCGGTCACCATGCTTTCAAATGGTAGGTTCTTTTTGGTCACTTATAATTACAGAAAGTAAACTTGACATTTCAATGAGAATTTTGTTGCCTGCAATTACGAGTCCGTAATAGGGCGAGTACCTAGTTTTTCTGACAGATTTTTTGAGTTTAATTCTCTAAAGGCAACAAAACTCGAATTCAATGTCTACACTCGAAGATTGGATACTTTTCAGACAACGCAAGATTGGGAAAAATTTACATTAACGATATCAGAGATTCGTTCACAATTTTGGTTGTCATGGTTTCAAATGTAAGATTCCGTTTTATCGCGGGAAAACCTCAGGAAAAACTTACGGAAAAGTTTGTTCGCTGTTATATAATGAAAAAATCACAGCAGCTCATGGGATTTTTTATACACGAATTAAAGAATAGCTCTAAAAGTTATAGCAAACTTTCTTTGCTGTCATAATGACAAAATCACAGCGGCTCATGGGATTTTTTATACATCAATCCGAATCAATCCGAGCATGAATTAAATTGTTACTTGTCACAAGAGAGCTTTTTTTGTCGAAGTAAACTTGACATGTATCATAAGAATTTTGTTGCAATTTGTGGCAATTTGTCGAAAAAAACTCTGACAGTTTTTTGAGTTGAATTACCTAATGGCAACAAAATTCATGTTTCAAAAGCTTTCAAAAGTTAGGTTCCGTTTTTGTCTCTGGAAAAGTTAGAGCAAACTTTTTTCGTTGTCATAACGACAAAATCACGCGGCTTGTGGGATATTTCATACATGAATTACATTGTCAAAGGAAAATTTCCCTTTATAAGAACTACAAAAAGGGAATTGAAGGGATAACTGAAAGTCACAAGTCAAAATAACAAGGAAATGCATCTTTTCAATCGGTCCTCTCAACAGTCTCAGAGCGACACCGAAAAGAAGGTGAACTCACAATTTGTTGACGAAAGCGGGCAAGGTGCCGGGCACCCGCTCGAACCCCGCCGTCCTGCAATAGAACTCCTTCAGGTCCTTCGAGCACCGGCACCTCTCCGGCTCGAACCCGCTGCAGGGCAGCCCCTGCTCCCTGCCGGCCTCGCCACCGACGATGGAGAAGAGGGACGAAACGGTGAATAGCAGCAGGCAGTCGCGAAGGCGGGCCGCCGAGTCCCGCATCGGGAAGTCGCGTACTTAGGGACCCGCGTCGCGTGTCTCCTGCTGCGGATTGACTCGCTGCGAACTCGGAGCGTCGTAGGCCGAAGGACTACTGAACTCGCTCGGCGGAGTCGCGAGTCGGGACAAGAACTAGAGTCTAGCCATAGCACCATAGCGAGGTAATGTTGCGCTTGGCTGGCTGCTCGCTGGGCGCGAGAACTGGCAACGACACCAAAATAAATATCAATGAAAAATATATTCATTATTCCAAATTTTTTGGGATTTTCTCTCCTCGTTTCTATAAAATGAAAATATGAATATTCTTTCAATATACGTGTAGTAAGGACAAATCAGATGATTTGCCCCAAAATGTCACTGCGTTTAAAGAATTTTCCTATCAGAGAGCCTGAAAGAAAAGTTCACTAGCTTGTCAGTGACAATTTGTATTGAAAAATTTTTGGAGAAGAGAAATAAAGGAATATAGAAAATAAAATATCAAATTTTCACTTATCTTTGGACGTTTCGGGACCGATTCTGCTCCCGTTTTCAACATGAAGAGATTTTTTTAATTGCGAAGTCGTATAATATGTCTTGAAGCTTTTCAGTTTTCAATGACACTTGGTGACGTTGGCAATCAAAGGAGATACAGGATGTTCTCATTAATTAATCTTGAATTTACCATTTTCATGTTCAGATTTTTGTATTGAATACCATGTTCTGTCTATATCAACTGAACAAGAAGCAATGCTATTGTCTCCGTTCAGGAGAATGCAAGCAGATTCCTTGATTTTTCTCTTCTGGTTGTTATCTTATTTTCCAATGATTTTAATATTATTCCACTCTGCCATATGTTGTCCGTCTTCAGTAACGATATGTTCAGCTAGTTTCGATTTATCGATGTTTCTTCCCTTTATATTGTACTTATGTTCCTTCGTCCTTACTGAAAGAGGTCTCTTGGTTTCACCTGTATAAAACTTTCCACAAACACAAGGTATACTGTAAATACAATTTTTTGACGATTGTTCTTCATTATTCGGCTTTGTTTGAGTTAGAATTGATCTCATTGTATTTTCAGTTTTGAACACAGTTTTCACTTGAAATTTATCACCTACACGTTTTATTTTTTCAGATATGCCGGGAATGTATGGTATTATATTGCTTGCATTCTTCTGAACGGAGACAATAGCATTGCTTCTTGTTCAGTTGATATAGACAGAACATGGTATTCACTACTAAAATCTGAACATGGAAATGGTAAATTCAAGATTAATTAATGAAAACATCCTGTAACTCCTTTGATTGCCAACGTCACCAAGTGTCATTGAAAACTGAAAAGCTTCAAGACATATTATACGACTTCGCAATTAAAAAAATCTCTTCATGTTGAAAACGGGAGCAGAATCGGTCCCGAAACGTCCAAAGATAAGTGAAAATTTGATATTTTTTTTCTATATACCTTTATTTCTCTTCTCCAAAAATGTTTCAATACAAATTGTCACTGACAAGCTAGTGAATTTTTTTTTAGGCTCTCTGATAGGAAAATTCTTTAAACGCAGTGACATTTTGGGGCAAATCATCTGATATTTTTATTTTATAGAAACGAGGAGAGAAAATCCCAAAAAATTTGGAATAATGAATATACCACCTCCTCGATTAACCTACAGTATTTAATCAAAAATATACTTTTTTTACATTCATGCAAAAAGCAGAACTTTATTGAACTATATTCAGTGGAAAAAGAAGTTTTTTATTGCACTTAGTGCAATAAAGTTTTTATTGCACTCATCTGTCATTCTACTTCAACGTGCTGTCATCATGACAAATATTTTTTATATTGCAACTGTGGTTATAGAAACGTCAGTCAAAAATTAATTCTGACAATTAACAGAATTGTACCTAGTGCCGCACCTCAATAAATCATTTTTTGCTTTTTGCATGAACGTAGAAAAAATGCTGTATGCAACTCGTGCAAAAATTGTTTATTACACTCGACGTGAAATTGTCCGACCAAGTAGTTAGGCATTCACTTTTTGCACTTGTTGCATAAATAACTATTATTGTCGAAGACATCAACCTTGTTGACAAGGCACGTTGCAGTAAATAATAAAATTCACTATGACGAATGTAAATAAACATAAATAAAATAAGAGAATTGTAAAAAAAATAAAAATAAAGAGAAAAAAATATTACCAAAATGAAATTTTGGATTTTTGTCAACTCGTGATTATCTTATGTCGATAATACATATAAAATCGCATTATTCACATACAGGGTGCCCGCTGAAAGGAGGTCAATCCATCAACCATATATTCTTTGAACAAAAACAATATGAGTTTTAAATTACCATTTTTCATTGTAGCCCTTCATATTCGATATATAGAGGGTGTCAAAGTTGGAAATCAAAAACTATTCTCTTTTAATTACTAGCGTATTTGAAAAGACATCAATCTCAAAATCAGTACATTACTTCAGCACAAAGAGTTACATCGTGTGAGGAAAACAGAACAAAAAATAACTGTCAAATATTCAAAATACTGGGACACACTTACCCCCATTTTTATTTGTACGTACTCTAATGACTTCCTATCTATTTAATTTCAAATGTTCGATCATTTTTGAGTATTTTTTTCTCTTGATAAAATTATTTGTTTTTAAGATATTTCGAAAAGCACTTGTTATTGTTTGATGCCTATGTGTCTCATAATGTTCACATACTCCTATTTATTTCGTTCAAATTTTAAGAGGGCGTAACTTTTCACGTACGAAAACGTAAATATGGACATACCGGGTGCTCAGAGCGAATGTATTAATGTCATGTAATCCATACTAAGTAACCAGCATCCACGATTAGTCCTTATACTCCTTATATAAGTATCTATGCTGATTGAAGAGGTAGGTACTCTAGATTTGAGTTGAGCAAAATCGTTAATAACATCTTCAAAATCTATGTTTGACATTCTATCGACATTGGCGACAAATTATTCAATTTCTCTTGAAGCATTGTACTTATTAATTCACTTTTTATTCGTTTTAATTTGGAGAAGGAGCGTTCCCCAATGCAGTCAGTTACCATCATACTTAGAAAGATTCTCAGTGCGATTATTGCGGAAGGCAATTGAAATGAAAGATTATGTTGAAATTCATTAAGCATGCTGCATTCGGCTAGCCTGATTTTCAGGAGTAGAGTAGCTATCGGGACTAGGGGGCTCCAATCGCGGGGCCCTGGGCACGTGCCCAGTGTGCCCAGTGGGGCCTGTATCTCTCATTGTTTCGCTCCAATATGTATTTTGTCCCAAGCCACAATGCTTCTCGTGCTCAGGAGACCGTTTCAATTCCATTTATTCAATAAAAACATTTTTACACTACAAGGTGTGTAAACAAAAATCTTCTAAAGGGGACATTGGATATGATAAAAATGTAAAAAATACAATGTAGAACACTTAGATACGCCACTGAATTACCCTCCAAGGGAGCCCTCAGAGGCAGGCGATGCAGGCCTTGCCGATGATTTTTGTCTAACAACCCTGATGGCAGTCATGAGGGAGCTAACTTCTAGGAGTAAACCTTTAATCCAGCTCATGTCAATGAGTTGCCCAGGGCAAAAAAGATTGATCGTCGATTGCTACCTTTTTCTCTCTAATTTAGCATTTTTTGTGTTGGAAAATAAAAATAAAAAACCAATTTTGAAATTTCTCTGTGAAAGACACTATGCGGGATGAGGGGTGGGATAGGTGTGGGAGAGTGTTTGGGATCTAATGGTTGGGATCTGATAGACTGATTTCGTATCGGCAAATATACTAGTTTTGTTAGTCGATAGGCGTGCTAAATTCTCTGAGTCCTGCTCCATGGTAATGCTCCGATAGTCGTTCAGCCGGGCCAAACGACTACCGTTCTCGTTCAATTCAGCTTCTCAGCTGTTTGTTGTCTAGAGTCAGTCTATTAGAGATGAGGGGAGGGTGGGGGAGTTATTCAGGGGGTTCCCTGAATACATCGCTGGCCTCATAAATCAGTCCATGCTTCCTATACGGATGTCATGATCTGCCCTTATTCTCGTTATATCTCTATATCTGAGTTCGCTATTCTGGATATGATATTTATAAAATTTATTTGAAACGTTAACAATGTAATCTTTAATCAAGGGCAGATCATGACATTGAGCATGCATGTCAGCCACTCGAGTGTATCTATTACCGCTGGTAATGATTCGGAGTACCTTGTTCTGTAGCACCTGTAGCCTTTTCAGTTGAGTGGCGGAGGCGCTACAGTACACCGGACAAGCGTATAGCGTATGTAATCACACTAATCACAGGTCTTATCACTTGCTTGTATAAGAGCAGTTTGTTTTCCATTGTTAGTCCTGAATTTCTGGCCGCTTGTCCAGCACTACTCCCAGGCTCAGGAGACTGAAAAATTTTGTTACTCGCGCCCAGCGAGAAGCGAGCCAGGCGCAATATTACCTCGTTATGGTGCTATGGCTAGACTCTAGTAGTCGGGACAAGAGGCGGGCCGAGGAGTAGACCGGTTTCGGCTTTGGCGCGGTCGTTCTTCGCCTGCCACGCGCGCTTTCTTTCGCCTTTGCGATTGCAGGTCCGGGAGAAATTACCTACTCCTTTCGTCGAGTCCTTCCTCCTCCACGATTCTTTCTGTTCATTCACATTTTTCCATTCACATACAGTGCAGACTCGATAATCCGAACTAATAAAAACCGAGGCGATTCGGATTACCAAAAAATTCGGATTACCGAAGCAGTTTTTTTTTTCAATTTTTTATTACGAAATGCAAAAAAAACATAAATACGAAAAAGTAACACTAAAATATGCATAAAAGCAGTGCCGGATTTATACTCCCTTACGCCGGGGGCTAACTTTTACGATGCCGCCGCGCGACCGCCAAATATTAAATTTTCAATTGTCAGATTCAAAATTCAAATAATCCTTTCACTGCTTCTTTTACAGCATGTAACAATAACATGAAATCATCATGCAACGAATCAAATTATGTTTACTTCACAAGTTGAACTTAACAACAAACAACAAAGATTTTTCTCAGATGAATACTAAAATACCTTTCTTGATTTTTTTGATGCAAA